AAGGACACGGCGGGCGCGGCCAAGGGCGGCGCCAAAGGGAAAGGGAAGGCAAAAGGTACCCCTGGGCGCCCAGGGGGATAGGAAATGCCCCCCGGCCTAGTCTCACCACCTCCGGCAGGCAGTCGGCACTCCTGCCGCTATAAGGCCAAATTTGTTAAGAATTCAATATGCATGTACATACCCATGCACGCATAGAGCACGCACTGGCTGTGGCGACCCTGGCTTTCGAGGTGGGCCGCCGCGCCCTGACTTTGAGGGGGCCAGCTGCAACCCACAGGGGTGAATCTTGTTTTGGGGTCGTGGAGTGTCGAGGGCCTGACTGAGGCGAAGCTGGAGGAGCTGCGGATCCACGTGCAGGCGCTGGGCATCGACGTGCTCGCAATTCAGGCGTCGCACAAATACGAATCAATGTGCTACGAGACGGAACGTGGTTTCATGGTTGTCTTGTCCGGGAATCTGGACGACGAGGAAACAGCTGGAATTGGATTTCTGGTGCCTCCTCAAACCCGCAAGGGCCTCTTGGGCATCAGAGTGATTTGTTTTCACGAGTTGCTTATCTGAAATTCCGCGTCCGCGGGGAGAATATACTGGTGTTCAGTGTCTACGCACCTCGCAGCGGAAAGCCGGCAGAGGACCGCAGAGAGTTCTATCAAGGACAGGGTGCGATATTTACTCGCACTCCAGGACACAGCCGGGCTTGTTAGCCGGGGGACCTCAACGCGAGGATACACAGGCAATTTCCTGGCGAATCTGATCCCATAGGCAATTTGGTCTTTGGGGAACCTGCGGCGCAGTTCAGCGCAGATCCCAACCGGAGTCTATTGCGTGAGCTGCGTGCCAGCCGCGGGCTCGCCACCGCAAGCGCGTACTTCGAGCGCGACCTTGACCGTCAGGTGACCCGCTACAACGTTGGGCGCCGCCCCTCCGACCCAATGGCGGCATTTTGGTCAGATCGATTTTCTGCTCTGCCCGCAGTCCCTTCTGCCGAGCGCGCTGGACGTTCCCTCGTGCGGTGCAAGCTGCAGGGAAGCAGCTTCATCGTCGCATCGTTCCCTCGTGCGGTGCAAGCTGGAGATATCCTGGAAGAAAGCGCAAAAGGCAAGGGGGCCGAGGCCGAACGCAGCAGCCTTGGCCGACGCTGGCGTCGCCGAGCACTTTGGCGCCATCTTCGCAGAACACGCGGTGCAGCGCAGCGCGCCGCAGGGCTCCCTCAGTCAGCTCAACGACAATATGGCGGAAGCTTTCCGGCACGCCGCCGGATGTTGTCTGCCTGCGCTTCCAGCCTTACGGCGGCGACATTGGATGAGCGACGGCGCGTTGCAGCTCGCTGCGCGCGGGGAAGGTGACGGCGACTGGGCCGAAGTTAGAACATTAAAGAAAGGCTCTGCTGAAACCCAGGGGAAAATGAAGGATGCCAGCGGCCAGCTCGTAGGCAGCGACAGGGGGGCTGCGACGTTGGCAGAGACTTTTTTCCAGGGTGCAGCGGGCGGTGCACCCGGCAACGGCGGCGAATAATCTGGCCGCTCTGGGCGTTCAACTCGACGTCGCGTGCGGCCCCATCGCCCAGTCGGAAGTCGCCGAGCGGCCGCGCGACCGAGCTGCTGGCGAGGGCGGGGCCCCTGCCGAGTTCTGGGGAGAATTCTGCAGGACGGGCGCGCCGGAGTGCGAATGGGCCACTTTGCTGTGCGCCCGGTGCCGGGCGGGGGAATCTGTGCCAGACGCGTGGCGCCGAGCAGTTGTAACGGCCGTATTTAAGAAAAAGAGATTCGGCGCTTTGCGCCAACTACCGCCCAATTTCGCTATTGCCCATCGGCTACGAGCTCCGCGCCTCCTTGTTGTTCAGCAGGCTGAAGCGTGCTGGCGCCAGGTCTCGGATCTGGAGCGCGCAGTTCGGATTCCGACCCTGCTGCGGAACGTCCGAGGCCTTGCTCATGGCCAGGAGACTTATCGAATATAATCGGGGCACGCAATTGGGCAAGTTTGTCTTCCTTGCGTTGGACTAGGCAATGGCGTTCGACAGCGTGGCGCCGGACGCCCTGGCACAAGCTCTCCTGAGACTTGGCGTCCCCAGCTGCTGCGCCGAGGCCGTGCGCGCCTGTGCGCAGACCGATCGCTCCGCGTTCGCGATGCCGGGGCGATGCTTGACCCGCGCCCGCAGGAGTTCTGAATCTCACAAGGATGTCACTTTCTCCATTCTTCCTCTCGGTCGTCATGGCCGTTCTGGCGCGCGACGCAAAGCGCGCCTTCCAGAGCGAGGGGTTTGCTGCAACAGACGGCTTCCCAGTCGGCGAGCTCATCTACGCAGACGACGCGCTGCTGGTTGGGTCGACTGCTGGCTTCGTTGTCGCTCTAATGCAGGCGATGCACGAGACTTGCAAGCATTGCGGTCTGGCTTGCAACTGGACAAATTGGAGGTGCCGCCCGCGCGGTGCAGCGCGGACATCCGAAGACAGGGTGGCGAGCCCGTCCCGCAGAAAGACAGCGCGGTGCACCTCGGAGGTTACCTAGACGCCCCGGGCGCCAGTAGCGCAGAGCTGAGCAGTCGGATTGGCATGGCATCGCAAGACTTCCACGCCTTATGTCGAATATAGAGGCACGCCCGTTTGCCATTGCAGAAAAAGGTTGCAACATGTAAAGCATGCGTCGTCGGAAAGCTAATTAATTGCATCCACGCAGTGTGGCTCAGCGTGTCTGAATGCAACAGTTTAGATGCGTTCCAAGCACGGTGCTTGCGGATGCATTCTGGCATAGTCCAGTCATATTACAGCCAAGTCAGCAATGAAGCCGTTCTGTAGACATGTTGCTGTCGTAGGCTCAGCACTGCACTTGCGTGCAGGCAGGTGTGCCTTTTGGGTCGCATTGCGGTTCTCCCGGGCGACGGCCCCGTTCGGCGCTGCGTATTCCGACTCGGGTCTTTTCCGTTTTCAGCCGGAGACGGCCGCCGAAAGAGGGGGAGGCCAAAGAATACGTGGAAACGTATAGTGCACGAGCTGGCCGTCAGAATTGCCGGGGATTCGGGCTCCTTGCACGAAATTTGGCAGGGCCCGCCAAGCAAGTGGCAAGCCACCGCCGAACGCTTCCTGTACGCGTAACTTGTGTAAAGATCTAATTGTACTCCAGCTCCCCCGCCCGCCCGCCCTACAGGTGGTGTCGTCGCCCTTTCCTCTTCCGCCGTCGTGCGTCATTCCCCTGCCTGCTCTCCCTCCTGCTCGTCCCCTGGGCTGTCGCGGGGTCTTCGTCCTCCTCCCCTCCTCGCGGCTGTCGTCCCCTGTTGCTCGCTCTCCTCCCTTCCCCGGCTCTGGGTTCGTCCTGGTTCCGGGTGTCGTCCCCTCCTCTGTCTCCTGCTGCCGTTGCTCTCCCGGGTCGTCCACCTGCGGGCTTTTTCGAAATTTTAGACGGTCCCTGCCCATGACCGAGGGAACTTTGTCTGTCGCATTGTTTCGCTGCGTTCGGCGGCGGTCATGCCGGCTCCACTTTTCCTGCCCATGTACCTCTGACGTGCACGGCGTCTTCTTTTTCTTTTTCCCAATTTTGGGTTTCTCGGGGGGCTCTTGCATATATGGCTTCTTGATGGCTCCTTGCGGGCTTCTTGAAAGCCTCTTGGAGGCATCATGGGGCCTCTTGGGGGCACCTCGAGGGCCTCTGGGGCTCTTTGGAGCATTTTTTGGGGGGAAAGGCTCGAAACGACAATTGGGCGAGGGAGAAGCATAGGGTCGTCTTCGCCGACATTCGCGCGTAAGCTTCCCGCGTAAGGTTGCGCGTCGGCGCCTTCTTCTCCAAGCACTGTCGCGTTGGCGGCCCGCGTAAACCGCGGCGAGAGGACGCGTTGTCTTCTCGCGTAAGGCCTGGTTCGTGTCGTCGCTCAACTGCCAATTCGTATTTCCTCTGGGGCCCCTCTTAGGTCGGCGGCGATCGAAGGGGAGGGGAGAAGGAGTAGGCCTTTTCAGAAGCGGCTGAGCTTCTTAGAAGCCTTCCAGTCTTCCCAGAAGTCTTCCGTGTCTTCGGGGAAGGCTCAGTTCTTTTTCGGAGGGCCGGGGGACTGAAGGCCCGCCTCCTCACTTCCCCCCTGAGCTCGCTGCCACAAATGTCAACTCGTAATTCCCTTCGGGGGTTGAGCATCCTGGCGCAGCCGATCCGATCCGATTCCGACTCCATGCCGATTTGGCCCGATCCGACGCACGTCTCGACCCGATCCGCTGTCCCGATTCGATGCCGATTGCTCCTGGCTGGGCCTGCCTGGAGAGGCTGGGGGCCACCCCGTGAGTCAGGGGCACCGTTGGAGGGGCAGGTTCAGGGGGGATGCATCGACCTCTAGGCCCCCCCCCCCCGAAGTCCGCAGCAGGGCCCCCCAGTACCACCAAGGACATCCCAGGACACACGAGGACCGCCGCGGGGCATCCCAGGACCGCCGCAGGACGCCCCAAGACCCCCCAGAACCTTTTCAGGACACCCGAGAATCCCCCCTCCCCCCGCTCCCCCCCACGAGGAGGAGGAGAACGAGGAGGAGGACGAGAAGGACGAGGAGGAGAAGGCGGCAGAGGAGGAGGATGAGGAGGAGGAGGAGGAGGAGGAGGAGGAGGAGGAGGAGGAGGAGGAGGAGGACCCTCCACGCTCAGACATCGCCAACAGGGGCCCCAGAGCCCTCCACGCCCAGGAGCGTACACCTCTTAGGTCCCCTGTCGGCACTCTCCTGGGCCGCCCCAGGGGGGGGCGCGGGCCGAGAGGCCCGCCGAGGACGCTCGCGGAGGCCAGCCTCGGCCTGGGGCCGCTTGGCGCCGCTGCGCCGCCCCTCGACCGATCCTCGATCTTCGATGGGTCCTCGGTGGATTCTTGACGGATCCTCCATGGGTCTTCGGTGGATCCTCGATGGATCCTCGATGGATCTTCGAGCCTCGAGGGCCCTCGATCCTCGATGGATCCTCCATCTTCGAGGGATCCTCGACCTTCGATTGATCCTTGGTGAAGCCTCTGGCGGCCCTCTTCACGCGCGCTCGCTCCAGGTCCGCATCCTGAGCAGCCGCGCGGACGCCCGCGCTGGCG